ATCTTGCCTGTTTTTTGGGAACAGAGAGAACAGCTGTCGTTAATCCCAATAATCGTGATCAGACTGTTATGGGAAAGAAAACTTGGAGATGAGAGGGGAAGAAAATATTTCAGTCTTTTTGGAATAAAGCTCTACGTGTAGTGTTGCATCAAACTATTACCAAGGAATTCAAACAAAAACTATTGGAGAGGCTGTAGGGAAATTGTGGTTAGATTGTTTTAAAGCAAAAACAAGTATAGGCTATTCTTAAAAAAAAAAAAAGCCAGCTTCTGAACAGGCTTGGGGAAGGAAAGGGTGTGTTTTGAGAGAGAAGATTGGGACAATCTTATTACAAGCCAAATAAGGTACAATTAACTAGTACTGTGTTGTATGTGTTTTTAAATAGGTTATTTAGCAAGATTTGATAAGGGGAAAAACATTAAATAATAATATCCTTTTATTATAATGACTTTTTCCTGTGTAGAGTTAGGCCAAACACTTTTGAGTGATTACAGATCTCATTTATGTGGCCCTGAAATGTTCTGAGGCTGCATGCAATCAGTACATCATCAGCAAAAAGGAACTTGTGGAGGACCTCTTTTGATTTGGTCTTTGCTCCAGATATTGTTAATGACATTGGGAAACACCTGGGATGAACCTGTCTCCCCAGTTTTATTCCTTGATTGTTCTCAGCAATTAGCTTGCCAGTAGGATGGCCACTAAATGGACAGCAGGTCATAGTGTTGGCCTGTGAATCTGTACATCTTAGACAACACTCCATAGGGATAATGAGGTGAGCCCTGATTTGAAGAAGAGTAGGAAAGCAGGGTAGTTTGTTTTTTTGTTTTACTAGACCTGCCATTTCATCTGTGTAGGAAACCCAGCGAGGATCTTTCCCCTACCAATTCAAATTGATAGGGGGGCAGCTAGGTGGTACAGTGGATAGAGCGTCGGCCTTGGAGTCAGGAGGATCTGAGTTCATAAACCAGTCTCGGACCAGACACTTGACACTGTTGACCTGAAAGTTTGGTTAAAGAAGGCAAACAAGTTAGGTGATACATGATTATATAGTTTATTCCTTTTTAGCTAGAGAGTCATGTACATGGAATCAGAACGTGATTCTGACTCCAAGATTAAGCAAAATGAGAGAGGTTTTATACAGTTTAGAGTGCTCAGACTCAGGATGTCTGTGTTACAAAAAATACAGTCTCCATGTTTTTTTAACATATAGCATGGGAAAGGAATTTTCTTAATTGAATAGGTTGTAAATACAATAAAATAGGAGAATGCAAAAGTGTTGATTGAAATTATAGACCAAGATAAGAAGAGTCCCATTATTCAAGAGAGTGTCTGGTAACGAACAGGAAGAATGATGGTCAGTTTCATCTGGTCCTGGAATTTGCTGACATAGGAAGGGGTGTTTTTAGTTCACTCAGAGAGAAAAAGATTAATTCAGGTTTTTGGCCCTTATTGGGGCTCAATTGATCTTAAATGATTATCAACACTTACTAGCTTGTGACCCTGGGCATGTCACTTAACCCCAATTGCCTTACCCCCCCCAAAAAAAGAACAAATTGATTCCTACTCTGCAATTTAGAGTCTTCAAGAGTTGCCTAGGCTAGCTGTGTGACCCTGGCCAAGTCACTTAACCTCAATTGCCTAAAAAAAAAAACCACGAACAAACAAGAGTTGCCTGGGACATTGGGGAGTCTAGTGGCTTACCCAGAGACACATCCGTGATGATTTCTTTGCTCTGTGGCCACATCTTTGGTAAATTTCACAGCTCCTTTAATGACAGCCTCCATCTTTCCCTTGTAAAAAAAAAAAGATCCTTAAAACCATTTTTTTAAATGTATGGCTGCAAGTCATAGAATTCCATTCCCCAAAGGATTCAAGTTGATCACCCAAAGGACAATAAAGAAGCACTTGGTAGGTATGAACAGGATGCAACACATTGCAAAGGAGGAATTATGTTGGAGATACAATTCAAAGGAATGGCCTTGAGGGATTTGAAATTGGGGTATATGTGAGAGCCAGAGCTGAAGCTCCTGAGCCCTCCTTCATCCCAGTTGGTAAAGGATGTCATTAGAGAAATGTATGACTGGAGGGAAAAAAGATAAGTGGTTTCCATGATGAGATAAAGGGATAACCAATAGGTATCCCAAATATCCCATTGGTACCAATGAAGCATCAAGAAATATAGAAGAAAGCCTTAATACATTGTGTGAACCCCATGGCAGATTTACAGGGAGACTGAGACAAGAGTTGCACACGATAGGCAGAAATGGATGGGCTGCGATCTGTGTCACTGGGGAGCGTGCCCTCTTTGATGAGATCACAGATCCGATTAAATAAATTAATATTTGCAGTTTGCCTGTGAAGAAGGAAACTGTTTAATGAATGATTGGTGAAGGCGAATTCTAGGTTTTACAGAGGCTTACTGGCAGTCTCTATTAGAGTTTGTGACCATTTAGAGAGAACCAAGAGGTGTCTAACTGCAATGGCAGCATCTTGGAATCCAGCAAATATAGGGATATCCCTGAGGCTTCATTGAGCCAAGAGACAAGACATCCAAGCTGTGGTGAAACTGGGGAGATTGGCTGATGATCCCAGCTCAGATACAGGCACTTGTGGGTGAACTCTCCTATCCCTCACTCCAGCAACAGAGGGATGCCTATTCCTTGCCTTAACCAATCCAAGAGTCTTTTGGAGGTTTCCCAGTCTGCTCAGAGATAAAGTGGAATGACATTATTTTCTGATGCTTTACTATTTGTTTCTGTCTTAATTAAATGTTTTGCTTTTTGTCACTTAGGTATGTTTGCAGGGTAAGCAAATAAGGAAGCAACACAATGTACTGGATAGAGCATTGGTCCTGGAATCAGGAACACCTGTGTTTAAATTCCCCCTCAGATATTTAGTAGCTGTGTGACTCTAGGCAAGTCATTCTCTAGGCTTCAGTTTGAAAGGTTGGACTCAGTCTTTAGAAGGTGGCTTCTAGCTCTAAATATATGATCCTATGACTATTTAGACCTGAGTTAACTTCAGAAGTCCTCAGTTTTCTAACTGGGTAATAAGCAAAAGGGTAACACCCTACAATTTGAACCCTAGTCCTGGAGGATCCAGAGATGATAGGATCCATGGGCTACAATTAAATAAAATATTAACAAAGAGGCTATAGCAAAAAAAAATGTTAAAAACAAAACTTTCATTATGACCAAGTTATATTTGTATCAGGAATGCAAGGAAGTTTCAACATTAGGAAAATTATTAACACATTAATTATTAATAACAAATACATTTCCTTCTGGCTAGGGAAAGGCATTGACCAGGCTTAGGATGAATGCAGACCTCTTTCTGCTATGTGTATTGGAATATCTGGGGCTTGCCTGCAGAGGATGGTAATGAATTCATTAAAAAAAAAATTAACAAGCAGAGCTAAATTGGCTTAGCTTCCTACAATGTCACAGGCATGGGCACAGTGGTTCAAAGAGGAATAACTGTCACAGCCCCAGATATGAAGTGGGGACACATGTTTAAACACCTGTAAATGAATAACTGAATTGTGGGAAAAGTTGTTTTCAGGGTAAGCTGTGGCTAGAACCACATTCGAGCAGTTTTTTTTTTAAGTGAGTGTGTGAAGGTAAGGAAGAAGAGGGGGCTCTTTGGAGGAATGTGGCTGTCCCTCCCAGAAATGTGGAGTGGTTGGATAATGGTGCAGCTTGAAAGCTCTGCTGGATAAGAACTGGGAGAAGGGCCCAAACCCAGCCCTTTTCTCCATGGAATGTGTGTAGATTCCTGTTCTGGCGCTTGGAGACAGACCCTCCACCCTCGAGAGCAGTGGAAGGACAGATTACTATCTGGTATTTACTATCTGGTGGGGCCTGGTCCTCCTGGGTGTGAATTTTTTGGGGGGGGAGGCATGGGAAAGGATTATTCCTTTAATGAGTTGGGAGTGGAAGTCACTGCTTCCTGTCAGGAGAGGAATAGGAAATGAAGGCTATTGCAGGAAGTACTCAGAGGAAATTATGGCGAATGTGAAAGCCAGATGTCCTCTGAGCTGCAGCTCCTGTCCTCTCCTGATCTCGGCAACCATCTTCCCTGGACTCCAGGCCCAGAGCTCTACCCACTGAACTATCTTGCTTTCCTCTGAGCTGTTAGTCCCATTGGTTTAATCTCTTAAAGAAGTGTTTACTAAGCTCCAATTATGTGCCAGGCACTGTGCTAAATAGTGAAAATAGAAAAACCAAAGGGAAATGAGGAGCTTTCACTCTAATGAGGGAGTCAAGACGAACATTTATAAGTAGATACAAAATATATAAAGAAGATACAATGTAAATGGAGAAGAGTCAAGCAACACGAAGGAGTGAGAGTTGAGAAGAGGAAATAGAAAGGTTGGGATAAAAATCTCTGAGACATTGAGTGCCAGGATGAGGATCAATGAATTAGAACTGGAAAAACACCTTAAAAGTCAGCTGGACCAATACCCCCTTCCAATTTTGTTGTTTTCAGTCCTGTCGACTCTTCCTGACCCCAATTGGGGTTTTCATCAACAACACAGTAATATTTGAGGCCAGATTGGAACTCAGGAAGATGAGCCTTCCCGACTCCAGGCTGGGAGCCACCTAGCTGCCCCTTCCCATTTTTCAGATGAGAAAACTAAGGCTCAGAAGGGTGAAGTGGCAGAGGCAGAATTTTACCCCAAGTGTTCTGATTCTCAATTTTCCCGTCTCTCCACTGCACAACACTCCTCCTCTAAAGCGTCTGAACTTGATGCTACAGGAAATGGGGACTTTGAGAGTTCTTTATCAGGGCGTGATAAGAAAGTACTTTTAGAAGATTCATTCCCCCCACTGCCCCTCCCATTCTTCCCATTTCGTCGAGGGAGAACTTCAAGGACCGCCCACCTCTTAGAGAGGAACTATCCCTAGCCCACCCCCTCCCCACCAATCCCCCAACCACCTTTTCCGTCTTCTTTCCACTGACCAATCACTGTAATCTCCTCCTGGGCTGGAGGATCCAGCCAATCAGCGCCGAGCACCAGGTGCGCAGGATAGACCAATGGAATGAGCGCCGACGCACTCCCAATGAGAAAACGCTGTAGCAGCCACCAATGGATGAGCTTGTTGCAGGAGACCAATGGGATGTGGGCTTTCGGCTGCCCAACTAGGGAAGCCCTGTCAGAGGGTCCAGTGGCGGCTGCGGTGGCGTAGGTGGCGGAGGCGGAGGCGGAGGAGGACAGCACTGGGGTCCGGGCTGGGGCTGAGCTGAGCTGAGCTGAGCTGGACGCTGACAGGTGATCCCGGACTCAGGCTCGAGACCGGGAGCAGCGGGGCCCTGGAGGGCGGTCTGGGAGTCCGGTGTGTGGGATCCCCAGGGATTGCGTAGCCTCAGGGCGGTGAGGGCTGTGACCCGGCGGCCCCTGCGCTGCCTTCTCCAGCTGGCACCGAGGGGGCAGTGCCCGGGGAGGGCGCAGATGGGGGAGGTGTCCAGGGTGGCAGTGACTGGGGTGGAGGCAACCACTAGGGTCGGAAGGATGGGGTAAGTGAGCGAGACAGACATAGTGGGGTCAGTGCTTGGGATGGGCTCAGAGAGTGGGAACATTCCTGGAGCAGGCATAGACAAGACAGGCATTGCCCGGGGTGAGAGCAAGCTGGGGGGCAGTGACTGGGACGGGCCGTAACTAGAGTGGGCAGACTGGGGGCATGTAGGTAGATATTGTGGGGAGACGGGGAGGATAGCATTTGATGTGTGGGGATATGGATGGGATGAACATGCAAGAGGGGACTGGAGCGCTGCTAGGCTTGGGAAGCATCAGTGATGAGGCCTATGGTTTCTAAGATACTGCCTCTGGTGATCTCGCACTGCAGCTATCCTCTGGTTTTGGCTCTGGATTTGGTTCCAGTTCCCTCAAAGCGGGGCCAGTGCCCTGTGTGTACCCTCTCACTACCTCTAATCCAGTCCCACAAGCATTCATTAAGCACTTACTGCATACAAGGAATTGTGCTGTCTGTGTCCCTCCCTTTTTTGCATAGATCTTTGGGCAGGTAGTAGTGGATCTATGTAGCGCCTTCCCTGAAAACCCTTTTCTCCTCTCCTTCAAGGACTGAACCTAACCCTCCAGTAGAATTATCCTCTGTCTCAGAAACACATTTACCAATTCAATTATACTTCTTTCCCAAATGACTAAATTGGATGTTTTAGAGTGAAGAAGATTAAGGAGAAACAGGAGGATGAGCTGTGACTAATGATTAGTTTTTCAGTAGTCTCCAGTGTTGATGAGAGCTAGAAGCAGGGTGGTGTTCACATATACCTATACCCTAGTCTCAACGGATCCTCCAGGCAAGAGAAAGCTCTTTTATGGAGACCTGGGGGTCTGGGATAAGCTCTGGGAGTGAGGGAAATAGATTTTTATGACACGAGTCCCTATCTACTAGAATGGGCCCTGTGGGAATAAGCCTCCTTAGGGAACAGGAACATCTCCTGAATTGGGTATTAAGAGAAATGTTTCTCTTTCCGATTCAGCTCTCTCATATTTCCTTCCTCTGGGACTGATAAACATTGTACAGAACCAGCAGAGTGAACTCAAGTCATGGTGAAGTCCAGTGTTCTCACCCAGAAAGAGTCCTGTCTGTCTGGGACGACTTGAGCCTTTCTTAGCCAAACAGCTGAGAATTTCTGTTCTCAGTTCTTTGATGTGAAGACCCTGGCTAGTTAGATTGTGTACTCTTAGGTGGGGATGTTTCCTTTTAGGCGTCCTCAGTCTCATTTTCCAGCACCTCTGCCTCATTTGCCCCCATCATCTCCCATGGTGTCTGAACCTTTGTGACAAGATAGGGTTGCTAAGGCGTTAGGGTTTGGAATTAAGACTTCTTTACAGAACAGTAGGGTATGAGTCTGCTTTTTTACCTCAGGGCTGCAAGGAGATGTGTGTGATAAAGTAGACTGAGGTGTCTGTCTACTTGTGTGTGGGCTGTATTTATTTTGAGAAAGCCTAGTGTAATGGACCCCATTCATCCTCAGTTCTGGGCGCTTGAGTATCATGCCATATATTGTCTAAAGATGCTACCTTCTACCATTTTGGGATAGGGCTGAAGTTGCTTCTGGAAATTTTAATTTGGAAAGAGGGGCTGGATCTAGCACGCATTGTTGGGAGGAAGGCTTGCTGAGGATAGCTTAGCTTAGAATTCCAGATGCCTCAAAGTATGGTTTTCTACTGACAGACTGGCTACTTCTTAGAGTAATGTCTGCAATCCATTATTAGAATCATAGAGCAGGCAGGCCTCTTAAATATCTAGCCCAAGGGTAGGGAGCCTGCGGCATGGTAACCACATGTGGCCTTCTAAGTCCTTGGGTTTAGCCTTTTGATTGAATCCAAGTTTTACAGAACAAATCCTTTTATTAAGGGGATTTGTTCTGTGAAGTTTGGATTCAGTCAAAGGGTCAAACTTAAGGACCTAGAGGCCACATGTGGCCTCAAGGATGCAGGTTCTCCACTGCTGATCTAGCCTAACCCCTCATTTTATAGAAACAGGATCAGAGGTGAAATGACTTATTCTGTTATATATTCAGTAAGTATCAGAGCTGGGATTCAGACCAAGGTCTTTAGACCTCCAAGTCCATGGTCTTTCCATGATTTTATGCAATGACTTTCCATTTGTTTTCCTCCCTTTTCTCCTAACTCCTGGGCTAGGACAACCTGGGTGGAGAGAACTTTGGAGTGTGGGGCCTAAAGCGCCCCTTCAGTTGGCAGAAGATCAAGATGCCACTATGTCACTGTGCTGCAAGACACAGTGATTCCGATGGGGACTGGGGCTACCCTAGCAGCAGTGGGATCAAGGTTTTCCTCCACTGGAGCAATGGGGGTGACCAGTATGTGACCTACAACCAGGGCACCATGACTGCAGAGGAAGTCTGCATTCATATTGCACAGAAAGTGGGTAAGTGGAGTTTGAAGTAAGAGAAAGTTGGATCAGAGATGAGGACTTAGTGGATTAGGGATAAGGAAGCACTGTAGTTTTGAATCTTGCTTGGAAGCAGCTTCCCCCCCCCCCACATCTAATATTCCCCTAGTGAAATGGATGAATGAGGGGAGTAAGATGGGAAGATTGGGAAGGAGACTCCCTGGGCAGGACAAGGTCTGCTTCCCACCAAGTTGGCCTCCTACCAAGTTGCCTTTGGTAGGGTAAGTATAGTTGTTCCATCCACCTCTCCCAGTCCCGTGGATATGGGAAGAGGCTTGTGGTATGGCCTTAAGGACTTGGATTCTAGAGGCTTTCCAAGACCAAGTCTTTGTCTGAAGATAGCAAGCCACTAGTCCCAGCACCTGGGTCCTGTGGAGGGTTCTATGGTGCCTGGACCAGTCTATAGGATTTGACTCCTGCCTATTTATTCTACCACCAGCTGGGATCATGGTTGAGCATCTATTTCCTTGCCTTGGTCCCTCAGAATTTTCTACCCTTATCCTATACCTACCTCTGAGAAAACAACAAAATATTAGGGTTGTTAGGAGATTTCTTCCCCTACTCTGACTTTAGGGTAGGAGAAAGGGAAGGAGAATAATGCCTTGATATGTCCAGTTTTTTTTTAGCTTCGAGAGGCAGGGGCAAACTTGCAAGGGTGTGTGTGTGTGTGTGTGTGTGTGTGTGTGTGTGTGTGTATTTAACTTTAATGCCCTTCTTATCTACGTTGTTCCTGCTTCCAGGGATCACCCCACTCTGCTACAACCTTTTCGCATTATATGATGCCCAGGCCCAAATCTGGCTCCCTCCTAACCACCCCTTTGAGATCACCAAGGACACCAACCAGACCCTACAATTTCGAATGAGGTAGCAGCTGCTTCCTAAGCTTTGGCCTTGGGGATGGGGTCATGACAGAGGCCTTTTCCCCAGTGGTAACAGACTTTCCAGGGAAAATCTCCACATGAAACCTTTAGGGCATACTCAAGAAGTGATGGTTCTTGGCTAAGGCTCTAGGCTGGGAGAGCAGTTTCCTTTGGTGGCCAGTTTTTCTCAAAATTGGGGGGGTGGGTGGACACATACTGTCCCCATTCTATGCGTGTCAATGGCCCACCCACTATAGTAACTTAGAGATATGGGCTGTGGCCTGCCTGTTCCCTGGAGATTGAAGAGGGTTGTAGTAGGAGGCTTTCTGTCCTTTATTTCTTCTTGCTCTGAGGCACTAGAATGAGGAGGAGCAACAGGAGTCAGCCAGTCCTTTCTGGAAAGCTGTAGACCCCAGGAGGGTTGGCTGTGGTGCTACAGAGTAAGGAAGTATTCCTTCCCTTCTACAAAGAACCATGGGGTAAGACCATGTACCCTGCAGGTATTACTTCCGAAACTGGCATGGTCTGAACAGCCAGGAACCAGCCGTGTACCGAAGCATGCCTCAGGGTGTTGAGGTCTCTGAAGAGAAGACCTCGACGGAGCAAGGGTGTGCTTTGCTGGACAAAGCCTCCTTCGAGTACCTCTACGAACAGGTTGAGGGGGTTGGGTAGGGAGCATCACCCTGTGGGCAAGATATGGAGGGATGGGTGGGAAAACCCTAGGGGCTTCCTGGGGGTTCTAGAGGATTCAGCTGGTACAGATCCTGCTCCCCTGCTTTCCCTCATAAGCTTTTCCAAACTGTTTTGCCAGCCCTTGATCTGTATTTTCCTATTAAGAGTTGTGCATCTTAATAGTCAGCAACTTCTCTGGAAGGGTCAGGTAGGACACAGAGGGAAGGCATGAGGCTATCCTCCTGGGTCATTCATCCCACCCTATCCTGTTGTCGCAGGGGAAGTTTGAGTTTGTCAATGACGTTGCATCACTTTCGGACCTACATAGTGAAGCTGAGATACATTACTTCAAGAATGAGAGTCTAGGCATGGCCGTGCTGCACCTGTCCCATCTTGCCCTGCAGCGTGGTGTCCCCCTGGAAGAGGTGGTGAGGAAGACCAGGTACCTGGCCCCAGGACACAGATGGGGTTCCTCAGGGTGTCAGTCAGTCAACAAGTATGCCTGGCTTAAGAGGAGACAGAAGACATAAGATACATGCCCTGGCACGTGGGCAGCTCAGCCATATGCCTGAAACACCTTGAGGACAGTAGACAATATGTGGGCTGTAGTTGGGGAAGCCTGCCCAGTAGAGAAGATGGGAGTTCTGTTTGTCCTAAACAACAGATAGAATTTAGATTGATGGAGAATCAGAGTGAGAGTATTCTGGGTACAGGGAACAGTATAGGAGGGGATCAGAGCTGGACTCCACCTGTGTGGGACAGTAAGGACATTACCTGATTCAGGTACTTTGAATGCGGACCGTTAGCCCCTGAGCAAGCTGCTCTAAGAAGTAGTGGGTCAGGGGCAGCTAGGTGGCACAATGGATAGAGCACCGGCCCTGAAGTCAGGAGGACCCGAGTTCAAATTTGGCCTCAGACCAAACACTTGACACTTACTAGCTGTGTGACCCTGGGCAAGTCACTTAACCCCAAGCGCCTTAAATAAATAAATAAAATAAAGAAGTAGGGGGTCTGCTGGGGAAGTGCTCAGCACTGGGACTGATGAGATGATGCTGGACCTTAGAAGCTGGAAGAAAAAGTACTTGGGGCTTGTCCTGGTAGTCATGTGCAAAGAGGGTTGGAGTGGTGTTGGCTCAGTTAAAGCTCCTTCCTGTTGGAGCCCCTCAGGCCCCACTCACCTTTTCCTTCCCCTCTGCTTGTCCTTCACCCCCTGCCCCCTACCTCAGCTTCAAAGACTGCATCCCTCGCTCCTTCAGCCGACAGATCCAGCAGAACAATTCCCTGACTAAATTCCGCCTGAGGAACGTCTTCCAGAAGTTTATGCGACGTTTCCATCTGCAGACAGTGGGTCCGGGGCGGCTTAGTGAACGGGACATCATGTTCAAATACTTGGCTACGCTGGAACAGCTGGCCCCACGCTTTGGCACTGAGCACTTTCTTGCTCTGACCTTGGCACTGGCCACAGAGGCTGAAAGGGATCTGTGCTATGTCAATAGCAGTGAGCAAGGGCCTACTGTTCCGCCAGGAGCCACTCTCTCCCTCGCTGACCGGGCTCCTAGCCATGAGGTTCGAGTGACGGGTACAAGTGGTATCCATTGGCGGCTTCTTCAGGTGGAGGTGCGCAGACATGCATGGAGGGCTGCCCTGTGGGGTCCTCAAACTCCCCTCACCCTGGACAGATTGAGGTGAAGAGGGGTAGTGCTCTCATCTATCCATGACTGAATTTCAGGACCCTGACCTGGATGTCAACCATCCTCGAGGCTCCTTTCGTAAGAAGTCCAAGGCCCGGGAGGCAGAGAGCCGGAAGCCAAGCCAGCTGCCCACTGAGAGGAAAGAGAGCCCCTGGATGTATTTTTGTGACTTCCAAGATATCACTCATGTTGTGGTCAAGGAGAATAACGTCAGCATCCACCGTCAGGACAACAAGTGCCTGGTGGGGGCTAGAGCAGGGAAAGTGGGCCAGAAGGCAGGGGTGGGACTGCTGAAGGCTGGGAGGATAGTTCTAATGGGAAAAACCCTGCTAATGCCTCCTTTCCCCCATCCCCAGGAACTGACTCTCCTGTCACCTATGGTGGCACTCTCCTTGGTATCCCTGGTGGATGGCTACTTCAGGCTGACAGCAGACTCCAGCCACTACCTGTGCCGTGAGGTGGCCCCCCCGAGGCTGGTGATGAGCGTTCAAAATGGCATCCATGGGCCCCTGCAGTGAGTGTATTGGGGGGGGTGTTTTATGTAACTTTAGGGGTCACTGCATGGTTGTGTCACTGTGGGAATATGAGGATTGACACAAGGCTCATGGGGCAGAGGGAAAAGTTTACCCAGACCTCACTTGCTTCCCCAACCCCACTGCTTTCCAATGTTCAGGGAGCCTTATGTACTATCCAAACTGAAGCGAGAGGAGGTAGAAGACGGTCTCTACCTTATCCGTTGGAGTTCCTTTGACTTCCACCGCCTCATCCTGACTGTGGCTCGGAAGGACCAGGTAATGGCCTCACGGGTCAGGGAACAGGAGGGCCTGTTCCCTCCTTCCTTGGGGAGCCAGACTGTTTACTCCTCAATGCTTCCACAGACATCTGGAGCACAAGGTCTCCGTTACAAGCAGTTCCGCATTGAAGAGCGGGGCCTGACCTTCCAGCTGGAAGGCTGGGATCAAGCCTTTTCCAGTGTGCGTGAGCTCACTGCGGCCCTGCAAGGCTGCACGCTGCGATCCAGCTCTGGCTCTGGTCCTGGTTCCAGCCTAGAGAGCTTCACACTCAGCAAATGCTGCCTGCCTCGAGCAGGAGGTACAGCCAGGGGCAGAAAGGAAGAGGGGGATAGAGGTTGGGGGATGTGGCTAGGCTCCATGGGCAGGAGGACCTTTACCCCCACCACAGGTTGGTGGTGTTCTTTTTTGGAGGTAGGGGGTGGGGAGTATGCTTCCCTGTAGCATCATTTGGAAATTTCTCATTCTTAAGGCTTCTCCTGGTAGAACTATAGATAAGGCTTCTGTCTTGATTATATCTCTTCACCCCTATTTCCCCCAGAAATTTCCAACCTGATCATCACCCGACAGCGTCCTAAGGAGGGCCCTAAACCACTCAACTTGTCCCAGCTTAGCTTCCACCAGATCCGTAAGGAAGAGATCACCCAGGTAGGTCAAGGGTGCGCCCCCGTTTCTTCAGACACCGAGGGTGCCTTGCTGGCTCACTTGCTGCTTGCTCTTCCACATCCAGATCTCTTGCTTTGGGTTTGGGGGTAGAAGAAAAATAGGTTTCTTGGAGCTAAGGCCCCTGGCTTAGATTGGATGGACAAATGGCTGCATTTGTACTGAAGTGGTCCCTCTCTTCCTCCCATCCTGTTCCACCTCACCCCTCAACTCCCGCTTCAGCTGGCTCACCTGGGCCAGGGCACCCGGACCAACATTTATGAGGGACTCCTGCGTGTGGGGGGTGGAATGGGAGCTGAGGATGAGGAAGAAGAGAACATCCCCTCAGAACCCAACAACAACCATCGGGAGCTTCGAGTAGTGCTGAAGGTGCTGGACCCGAGTCATCGTGACATTGCTCTGGTAAGAGGGACCTGCGGGAACATCGTGTGTCCACGCGTCTCCTGTCTGGCCGTGCATATCCCCCATGTGTCCTTGTTCTGCCTCCCCCAGGCATTTTTCGAGACAGCCAGCCTAATGAGCCAGGTCTCCCACATTCACTTGGCCTTCGTCCATGGTGTTTGTGTCCGGGGCTCTGAGAGTGAGTATATCTCATCTATTATTTACTCCCCCTATTCTTCCTCACCATCTCTGTCTCCAAAGGCAGAGGTTTTCCCATCCCTGGCCTAAACTGCCCCTAGATGTGAGTATTTGGTCTCGCCCATTGTAGACATCATGGTGGCAGAACACGTAGAACATGGGCCACTGGATGTATGTCTACGCCGGGAGAAGGGCCATGTGCCTGTGGCCTGGAAGATTACTGTGGCCCAGCAGCTTGCCAGCGCTCTCAGCTACCTAGTAGGTGTCTGGCCTGGGGACGGGACTGCCAGTGGAGCTGGGGGCTGGACAAGGTGAAGCTAACACAAAATTGGTGGTTAAGAAGGCATTATTATCTCTCTCCAACTTGGAAACCAAACCAGAAACCATGCACTGCATGTGAGATGTGCGAGTTCTTACCTCTATGCTTATGTCCTGTGTGTTCCAGAGAATGACCCTCTTCTCTTGATATTACTCTTTAGGAGGATAAGAACCTGGTTCATGGTAATGTCTGTGGCAAGAACATCCTGCTGGCAAGGCGTGGCCTTGGAGATGGCACTCAGCCCTTCATCAAGCTCAGTGATCCTGGCGTCAGTGTCACTGCCCTCTCCAGGGAGGGTGAGGAGGATGGGGACTGGGGTGGAAGGTCATTGCCCCTAGGCCAGTGCCCCCTGCCCTGAAAGCAGGAAAAGGTACAAAAGCTCTGACCTCTGACTCTGGCCCCCAGAGAGGGCAGAGCGCATTCCCTGGATTGCCCCCGAGTGTGTACCCAGTGGGACTGGCCTCAGCACAGCTGCCGACAAGTGGAGCTTTGGAACAACACTATTAGAAATCTGCTTTGATGGGGAAGCACCTCTACAGGGTCGTACCCCTTCTGAGGTATGACTCCTCCCCCCAACCTCAGTCTTGCCCCCTCTGAGGTAATGCCTTCCCCATCCTCAGAGTCACACTGTCTTCCTCACACCCTGTTCTCAATCATCTGGGATGTTCCTGAGTAACGGGCCAAAATGAAACCTGGTCCTCGGCCTTGCCAGGAGCTGATGAGCCCTTCCTCTACTTCTCACCCTCAACCTACAGAAGGAGCGCTTTTATGAGAAGAAACACCGGCTTCCTGAGCCCTCATGTAAGGAGCTGGCCACCCTCATTAGTCAGTGCCTCACCCATGAGGCCAACCAGCGACCCTCCTTTCGAACAATCCTCCGTGATCTCACCCAGTTGCAGCCCCAGAGTAAGGCTGACTCTCTCTGTTGCTTGTACCCCTTCTCCTCACTCTGGGTTACTTCTGTTCCTCCCCTGTGCTGTCAATTATAGTCATTAGACAAAGAAGTGTTAAGAGAAGATCCACTGTCCAGTCACTTAAGAGCCTCCTGTCTGAAAGAGGAGACATGGTTTCTACCTAGCTAAATAGGCACTCAGACAAGCCCATCAACTGAAGGCTGTTCCTTGGGACCCCAGAAAGAATGACCCAACTAGGCCCAAGATTTGGGTGCAGTGGAGAGGCTAGTGAGCCTTACCTGCCACAGGTTTGTCCCTGGCTCTCTTGAACCCCGTCTTCATGGGGCTGTGATCTTTTCCAGATCTCGCTGACATTACCACCGTAAGCCCAGAGTTCCCAGCCTCAGACCCTACTGTGTTTCAGAAACGCTACCTAAAGAAGATCCGAGACCTGGGAGAGGTCTGTAAAGGGTGGAGAAGAAAGGGGCTTGCATATGTGGATGAGGGCAAAGGGCTGTGGGGGCCACTGACTTGGTACAGTCTTGCCTGGAGCTAGGCCCTCCCTCCCTTTCCTTACCTCTCCTCAGGGCCACTTTGGCAAGGTGAGCCTCTACTGCTATGACCCAACTAATGATGGGACAGGTGAGATGGTGGCTGTGAAATCTCTCAAGGCTGGCTGCAGCTCCCAACTCCTGAGCAGCTGGCAACGGGAAATTGAGATCCTTCGGACACTTTACCATGAGCACATCGTCAAGTATAAGGGCTGCTGCAGTGACCAAGGTCAGGGAGCAGAGGTGACCCTGGGTCTGGCCTGAGGAAGGAATTTCCCTGCAATCCTAGGCCTCGAATGACGAGCTTTAGGGCTGAGAAGGGACCTTAGAAACTGTCACGTCCCACCCCCTCATTATACAGATGGGGAAGCAGTGACCCATAAAATGGAATAGATTTGCCCAAGGTCACATCATGAAAGACACAGAAGCAAGATTTGAACTAGAGTGGGAAGGACCTTTAAAGTTCATCTGTCTATTTTAACCCCCCTCATTGTTCAGATCAGGGAATTGAAGTCCAAGGAAATTGTGACCTGCCCAGTGTCACACCAGTAGGGAGGAGCGGAGCCAGGATTTGAACCCAGACCCTTTGACTTCCATCCAACCCAATGTTCTTTCCACTGTATTCTACTTCTTCCCTCTTTCCCTCATACCCTTCTCCTGGGCTGGGTTTTGCAGGGGAGAAGATGGTCCAGCTGATCATGGAGTATGTGCCACTAGGCAGCTTGCGGGACTACCTCCCCAAACACAGCTTGGGGCTGGCCCAGATTCTGCTATTTGCTCAGCAGATCTGTGAGGTGAGGCCCCTGGGAGGTGGGGGCAGGGAGGGCACTGTGGGCCCTGTGCCCTGTGACCCCAACTTCTGGTGACCTTCCCCATCCTCTAGGGCATGGCCTACCTCCATTCCCAACACTACATCCACCGAGACCTGGCAGCCCGGAATGTCCTTTTGGAGAATGACAACACTGTCAAGATTGGAGACTTTGGCCTGGCCAAGGCTGTGCCAGAGGGCCATGATTACTACTGTGTCCAGGAGGATGGAGACAGCCCTGTCTTCTGGTGACCAGGGGCACAGACAGGGGGATTAATCCCACATACTGCCACTCTTCCCATGCCTAAGAGTATGAGAAGTTTGCGGGGGAGTGGGAGGGAGTAAGGGCTGATAGAGCTAAGGCCTTTGTTTTAACACTGGGTTCCCTGTGTCTTTCCCCCGTCCTTCTGCCGTGCCTATTGGGTACCTCCCATTTTCCCCTCCCAATGGCCTGAGTGTCATGCCCAGTATCCCCTAGGTATGCCATGGAATGTCTCAAGGAATGTAAGTTCTACTATGCCTCAGATGTCTGGTCCTTTGGGGTCACCCTCTATGAGCTACTGACCCGCTGTGACTGCAATCAAACCCCCCCCTTGGTGAGAGCCTGGCCTTGGACCCCTGCCAGCCCTTCCTCCCATACTCCTTGGCAGCATCCACCTGTGTGACAGCTCCTCTTTGCCTTTTCTCTGGTCAGAAATTCATCGAAATGATTGGGGTTACCCAGGGCCAGATGACGGTGCTGAGGCTCATTGACCTGCTAGAGAGAGGGCAGAGACTGCCTTGTCCCAAGGATTGTCCCAGTGAGGTAAGTCCCTCCTCCACCCCCCAACCTCCCTACTGATGATTCTCCCTTAAGGTATGATCCCATCACCACTACTGAAGATACTGGTAGATTTCAACCCTTTTCTGTGTGCCAGTCGCCCTCCCCCGCTTTTGGTGGCTGATCACAGACTATCTACCTCAATAACCCTCGACATTGGGAGGTAAAGCCTTGCCCAGCCTTGGGGGGAAGGGGGGGAAAGTCCTTCCAAACCCTCCCATAAGCCAGGATACAATCCACCATAATCCAGACCCCTGGTAGATGGACCCCACCTGAAAATGTGGGGCCTAACGCTTCCCCCCTCCCCACCCCCATTCTCTCCCCGCTAGATCTATCTTCTCATGAAGAATTGCTGGGAATATGAAGCCTCCTTTCGCCCAACCTTCCAGAACCTTGTTCCCCTCCTCAGGACATTCCATGAGAAGTACAGAAATCAAGCACCGTCTGTGTTTAGTGTATGCTGAAGGAGAGAGGCCTGGAGCAACTGTGGCCAGCCTGGGCTCATCTGTTGCACTATGGGAGTGGGAAATCTAATTGGGGCCTTATTGTTAGGCCCCCTCAGTGATTGGGGACTGTTTCCCACTCTCTACATCATCCTCAGTCCTGGAGGGAGGAGTGAGGCCATATTTAACCCCTTGGGACCCACGGGGAAGGGTCCATGGTGCCATCTTCAACTTCTTTTTTCCCTGATGCCAGGTGGTACCCAGGGGTTGTATGGCTGGGGCTGCCTAGTTACTCCTCTATCGCATACAAGTTTGAAACTCTGAAAATGAGAGACACTTCAGCTAATGGGGGGACCTAACACTGTGACCTCTGCCAGCCCCCTCCCTCAGAGCTGGGAATAAGGGGTCAGCCAGCTGTGCTCTCTCCAGAAGCCACTTTCCTTGTGCCTTGCCCCAGTCTCCCCTTCTCCCACAAACACACCTCTGGCCCCCCCCCATCGCCTCAGGACCAATGAGGAGAAAACTTGATATTTTTGCCTTCTCTCCAAGAGGCCTTAATCCTCTTCCTCTGCCTTTATCCTATCCCCTCTGTCCCTCCCCCTTCTTTCCCAGGTTCCATTTTAGATAGGGAAGGACTGAGAGGAAGCTGAGTGTAATGGAGAATCTTTAGGGTGGAGCTCTTCTAAGTCCTCTGTCATCTCCATTGTGCCTTCAACCCCAGTCCAGGTGCCCTTTCCCCAACTGTGTGCTCTCAGTGCCCTGCTCTACCCACAAGTGAGCCCATGTTCCTTCTGCCAACAGGAGCTTCATCTCTGTAGGTAGAAGTGTTAGGGGTCCCTTTTGAGCTAGGCTGACTTGACCTAGGAAAAAGGCTAAGGACCCTGGTCTTAAGAACCATCTGTAGGAAGCTACAGGTAAATGTCCTTGTTTTCAAAAATTAAAAACCGGGCCTACCCCTCCCTGGGGTCGGTCACTCAGGCCAGATGAGGCAGAATGGGCTTAAGCCTTGAGCTCCATCTTCCCTTTTACTTTAGCCACGCTTGTTTTTTTTCTCTGTCTCTGTCTTTCTCTTTCTCTCTTTCCTCTCCCTCCCCCCTGCCCTTCTCCAATCCTCTTTCCTCACACTAGGTCCTCTGGGCTCTAAAGTGAATCTAGGCTGGGTGTGGATGAGGGTGTAGTTAGTCATCATGGTATCACTTCCTTTCTCCCAGAAATACTGCCATGTCTTCATTTCCCACTCAAGTCCAGCAGGCTTTATTTCTGTAAATCAGCTTCTCCCAGAGTCTCTGACACCAACCTCTGGCCAGGTTTGGATTTTGGGCCCCAGCAACTCACAGCTCACTCAAAAAAGAATGATTGTGTTATGTGTCTGTGTGTGAAAGGAAAGGAGATTGGGAGAGATTTCCCTAGCCATTGTGTAAACCTTGAAGGCAGAGACTTTCTCTTGTCTTGCCCGCAGCACAGTGCTAACTAGGCCTTCACAACAAAGAAACAGTCTGGGAGTGTTTGTGGTGGAGGAAGAGGAAGAGCAGGTAGGTCCCCAGCAACAGGATCCTCTAAGGATGATGATTGGTCTGCAGATGTTATGTAAGTTGCCTCGTGACATAATGCATGAGTGTTGAAGACAGAATTACAGCCAAGGCAAAGATTTAATTAACAAAAAGGAAGAAGCTTCTGGGCACCATCCAGGTGGATGGGACTGAGGAGGCAGCTGCCTCTGGTTACAATTAGATATCCACCCTGGCCCAAGTTTAGTGCCTTGTTTAGCTTTTGATGATCCCTGCCTCCAGTACTTGTACAGAGATACAGACATGCATGTATATTGGTAGGCACAGATTTTCCCCAGAAGCCTATCAATCCTTCCCACAGTAACTGGGGGAGGGGGATACAACTGGGACAGTAACTGCCACCAGGGAAAGGAGGGAACGCTGTAGCTGGAATGTTTCTGGCTGGACAGTGAGTGTGGCTCAATGGAACATCTTCAATGAAGCCTGAGCATCATTGAAGGAGGGCTTATGGATGCACTGGGTCATACAGACTTTAAGTTCATACTCTGTCCACCATCCTCGAGTCATCTAGTCCTTCCCTAAGCCCAGAAGTTTCAGTCTCAGTCAGTGCAGTGGAAAGTTGGATATGGAGTCTAGGAACTGGATTAAAATTCCCAGCTCTCCTGCCTCCCGTGTGTGTTACTCTGGGCAAAGCCCCAAGGTAAGCCCCTTTGAACCTCAGATTTCTCATCTATAAATCGATTGGCTCCAATGAGCTTGAAGGTCACTTGCAGTTCTGAATTTGATCCTGTTGTAAGGAGTCTACCACATTGGACTTCAGCAAAGCTGACTGTTGCAAGAGGGGAAAGACAAAGACATTCAAATATAAAGCACTCTACAGCTTAGAGCCCGAGATTTGCATAAATACAGACTACCCCATGCCTTTGTCCCCAGCCACTGAGCTACATAAGGCCCCATCAGGGATCTGGGAAGTGAACTGGTTGACCATAATAAGTTAGGGTGAGGTTCCTCACTGAAAGAATCTGGATTTGAGCCAGGATTTGAATCAGAACATCATTTTGACCTGTCTGGCAGAGATGTTACTTCCTGTGAAGAACACAGCAACCAAACAGTCTGCTTAGACCAGACTGGTAACAGCTGCCCAGTGGCCAAGAGACTTAAGCAGGTTGGTCAGTCCATAAGCCCAGTGAGGGGCTGGTTCGACGGCAGAACAAACCACTTAATAAACTCAGCAGCAAATTGCGCTATCCACCCAAGACATCTTACCCCAGGAGAGGTAAGCATAGCTTAACCAGCCCATCCAGTGAAGATGCTGTGCCCTAAAAGGAATCAGCCTAGCAGGAGAGTGACTCGTTCATCACTGTTACCAATGCTGCCCTTCAGTGAACTTCCTGAGGACTCTGGGAAAAAGGAAGGACATGAAATGCCTGGTATTCCAGAATTGTGAATCACCTTGGCTACATGTGCTCCCTACACGTGTGCCTCACAACACTGTACTTTAAGTTCATGTCTGCTTGTCCCTAACAGAGTCCATGTGTGTATGTGGGAGAGTGCATCCCAGATTTTTTCGGGAAATGCTTTGTAACTACTGTTCTTGCTATGCCATTTGAGTAAATGCCTTGTCTAAAAGCTAATTTAGTTTACTGGCTGATTGTTAAGGAGAAGCCCATCAACGGTGACTTATCAGCTCCAGGGAGCATAGCCACCCAAATAGCAGTTGCTCCTCTGGGTACCCAACTCACCAACGCCAGTTCAAGTTGAGGAAGTGAGCTCAAGGACAGTGTGATTTACTCAAGAGTAAAGAGTAGGAAAATGAGGAATTCTGTCAATTAAACAAATATTTACTGAATTTAGTGGTGGAATGGGCAGGGAATCCAATCCAGTTCCACAAAAATTTATTCAAGAATGTGAGAGCCACAGCCTAGGGAAGCCCCTCTCAGAAAAGAGTCTCTAGTTCTGGACTTAATAGTCTAATCATCCTGAAAGTAATCTGATTCCCCCAGAAAAGGAGTCAAGGTTTTCTTTCTTGCTTGCTTGCTTATGCTCCCTCCCCAGGAGTAGAACTCAAGGAGAAATCTCTAAAAGAAAACAGAATGGTTCATTATACAGGTTCACTGAAAAGGGGATTAACTAGGAGCTTTGCAAAAAGATATGCAATTAAAAATTTTTATATCAGGTAGGGGACATTTATTTCCTCCAAGACAAAAAAAAAATACTTAGAACAGAAGACTCAGAAGTACATATCAACAAATGCTGAAAACAAATAAAAACCCATCACTTCCATTATACTTTGCAGAAAGATAAAGACAATTTTACGGGACAGCAGAAATAGAAATTTCACTTTCATCTCAGACCTGCATTGTCTGAGTAACTCACAATGTCCGGATATCCCAGATAACCAGGCAGGACTTTGGCTTTCTTAATACTTTCAGAAGTGGGCAGCTAGGCGTCCTAGTGGATAGAGCACCGGCCCTGGGGTCAGGAAGACCCGAGTTCAAATCCAGCTTCAGACACATAACTAACACTCACTAGCTGTGTGGCTCTGAGCAAGTCACTTAACCCCAATTGCCTCATAGTAAAAAAAAAAAAAATACCTTCAGCTGAAATGTGCTCTTGCTGATAATCTTAATTTTCCTTCCAGAAGTAGAGTAGTTGCAGGAATCATCTCCTGTTGGGCAGCCAGCACAAACTCAAGAAACCAGGAACTCTGGAAATTGCAAAGAAGCATTGTTGTCAGACAAACAAACAACAACACAACCTTCCTAACAATTAGAGCTGTCCCAAAATGGAGTGAGCTGTCTCAAGAGGTGATAGGTTTATTCTTCCTTGGAAGTCTTCAGAGTTTAGATGGCCAAACTTGTCAAGGTATACTAGAGTGGGAGTTCCTTTAAAGTAAGGGTTAGGTAAAAAGGTCATTGAGTTGGTCCCTTCCAACTCTCAAATTCTGTTTTTGTGGAGCACAAACACAGAAGAAGAAAGCCAAAGCCTTAGGCTCACTTAGACAACACATGTCTTTGATGCCAAACCTTCAGATTGCTATTGCCACATTCTACAGGGAGGTAGAGAAATAAGAGAAATCTCCTCCCCATCTTGTAAACCACTGAGTGGGGAGAGCCTTCCACAAGAGTCTGTTCCCCCCATGGCCAATTTTCTCAGCAGTCAATCCTCTGCTGCAACCCCCAGTCGCTGGGACCAAAGATCTAATCAGAATTTGCTATGCTGTGCTTATCTTTAACGAAGGGCCAGAGTACATTTTCAGCACCAAGTATCACTTCTATTACAAATGCATATCAGGCTCATGTCATCATAGAGTTTAGAGGAAGCTTTGGTGTAATGGAAAGAGCATAGAACTTGGGATCAGAAAACCTAGTTCTGAATCCCAGCTCTTCTAATAGCTGTGTAACCCTAAGGGAAGTCACTCAACTTCTCTTAGTTTCATTCGCCTTACATAATAAGGTTGGGGGTGAGATGATTACTGAGGCTAACTTTAAGATACATTAACCAAATGAGAACACTTCTCTCATCAATCACAGGCTTTAGGCTAGGTGTAAAACAAGTCCTTGATCAATTTGGATGTCTTTGAAACCCACTGGATGAATTGGAAGGACATCACACACAGAGTGTGTTCTGATTGGTTGAGGAAATTGGATCACAGCTGTAGCTCATCTATAAAATAGCAAACCAGGGACTGCTAGGTGGCACAGTGGATAGAGCACCAGCCCTGGAGTCAGGAGGACCCGAGTTCAAATCTGGTCTCAGACACTTGACACTTGCTGTGTGACTCTGGACAAGTCACTTAACCCCAATTGCCTCACCAAAACAAAAACAAAAAACAACAACAAATAAAATAGCAAACCAGGAAGGAAACAAGCCTTCGTCTCCTTTAGCCTTGGCCAGAGGGAGGACCATGTAAACTTTTGGGGAACCACAGAATTTAGACTTTTCATCAGTGCCCTAAGCAGAATCCCTGGGCAGTAGTGCTTGGTGACAGAAACTGTTTCAGGGGTTAAAAATAGAAGAGGCGTGATGAAGAAAACCAAGGAGCCCAGCGGAAGCTACATGGTATCTAAGGAGAACCACCTGAAAACTAGCAAAAGGACTTCGGAGAAGTTGTGGATTATCTCCTTTGTCACGTTGTTCTAAGCATAAACCCACAATCCCTGGGACTCTATGTGTCTTTCTGGGAGAGAATATCCCAGACTTGGTGGGAGGGAGGAAGACAGCATTTGTACCAACTATACCAGTATGTTTTGTATTTCTAAAAGCTAATTGAATTTGGCTAATTAATAGATATCCACTGATAACCAATGGGGGAAGCATATACTTGGGGGCTCATGAGTTATAGCATTAGAAAGCCACTCCCCAGTCCTTTCAGGGCTACCCCTAGAACCCTGAGAAGTGATGTGACATGAACAGCTAGATGGCACAGTGGATAGAAGACTGGTCCTGGAGTCAGGAGGACCTGAATCCAAATCCGGCCTCAGACACTTACTAGCTGCGTGACTCTGGACAAGTCACTTAACTCCAATTGCTTCCCCCTCTCCCCCAAACAAAAAGAAGTGATGTAACAGGTGGGCTTTGGGGCTCTCATCTCCTAGTGAGAGTAGAGGTTAGGAGAATGGCTTCAGAGCATATGCTACACTTAAAAAATAAGGATGATAATACTTGCAAACAAAAACAAATACTTGCAAAAACAAACAAAACACTGCTGTGGTTTGAGAAGAACTTTGTAGGTCTTGAAGTGCCATAGAAATTGTTCAAAAGAATCTGTTTAAAGAAATGGCTTACATACATCATACAGTTTAAATATACAATTGTAAAGACTGTAAGTATAGTATGAGTTCAGGGAATGATAAGATGATACCAAAGACCTCATCATCAGTAAAAACTGCTCTGCCTCCAAGATCTGCAATTCTGCCTCCCTCATCTAATCACAGCCACCTATCCTCCCACCTCTTAGAATCCCTTAGTCGTCCTATACTGTTCTTTGCCCCTATTCTGGAACTCATACGAACAGTGTTGTACCTGGAAGATTTTGCCTGTCTCTCCAGCTGTCTTTTCCAGTATTAGCTGCGTCTTCTCTCATGACTTCCAACACACTGGTCTTGGAGGAATAGTTGGCCTTTCTTGCTCCCAATTCGAATTCCAGACCCTCCCTTTGCTGCCATCACTCAGTACTTTCTCTTCCTTTGAGGTACGGTCGATCCACATACATTGCCCCATCCAGATCCTGATGGTAATTTACTGCTTATTCTCCCTCCTTTCTCAAGGACTTCATTACCTGATTCACAGTCTTCTTCTCCACTTCAACTTTGGCCCTTATGCTAGGGGACTTCAACATGAATGTCAATGTTCCCTCAAATGCCCTGGACTCCAAGTTCCTCAGTATCCTCAACTCCCACGGCCTATTCCTTCACTCTACCTTAGACAGACACAAGGATATCCAGAGTCTTAATGTCACCATTGCCCAGAAGTATTTCTCTTCCACCATCAAGAATTCTGAAAGTCTTTTATCCAGCCATAACCTCTTGTCATTCTATCTCTCCCTATAACTTACTCATCTTAGACCTCATCTTCCTCATCCTGGCTTCTGATCCCTCCATCCCTCATCACCATGGCTCTGTTTTCCTTCTTTTTGATTGCCAGCCCTTACCCTTATAATTAATCAGGTCAATGTTACACTATCTTCTACTCTAAAGTCTCTTGTCTCATTGTCTGATCACCATTCATGTCCTTGACAAACAGTAACCCAGAATTACTCTCACCATCCATGTCTTCTGCTCTTATTTGCCTGCTGCTGCATGGATCTGGAGACAGTCTCAATGCAGCTGACTGAGGCGGCTGTAAATTTACGTTATCTAATCTCAATCATACGGTTACTCTGGCAAGACAGTCCCTTTACCCTTCCCTAATTGATTCTCTGTTGTGCTACACACGGTATCTATACCAAACCTAATAGCCTTTCCTCAAGCTTCTCACATCACTCTCTCCCCACATCCTCTGAACAGGGACCTTGCCTAATACTCTACTGTTCAAAAGATTATAGCCAATATCATTTCATACACTCATTTTAATTTAATATTTTTTGAGACCAAGTCTCCTTATCCCACTCAGACTGGAAATGCTGCAGCCATAGGTCTGACTCAACTGCTAACTGGCACAGGAACTTTGACAGGCATTGTTTCTAGCCTGGGCCAACTGTCAGGCAGCTATACTGATGCCACATTTAAGGCAGACACCTGATTGGGATTAGTTCTACTAAAGTTCAGAACTTCCCAACTCAAGCAATCCATCAGCCTCGGACTTCTCGGCAAACTACATGTGCACACCACCATGCTCTCACTTTAATGCCAAAAGACTTTGCTTGTAGAAATTTTGTCCTACACCATCCTATAGCTTGTTTCTTTACTACAGGATGCTATATCAGGGGTGTTAGGCAAGAAAGGAACTCTCTGCGGCATTCCTCCGTCCAGGGGAAAGATGTTGGGTGTCTACATATAACATCTATTTATTCTGAGAACACCCTCAGCAATTTCCTGTGCTGACTTGGAAGCAAGGGACACTTAGATATGCTTGAGTTACTGCTTCAATATAGCCCTTTTTTTCAAAGCACTTAATTGCTCTTTTGTATCAAGCAGATAGTTTGCATTCTTTATTCTAACAGAAGGTCTTTGCTTTACTTCACTGTCTAATGTCTTCTTCAACTTAGACATCTCTGACCTCCCTGGCTTCCTTTAAGTCCCAACTAAAATCCTGCCTTCTGGGGCAGCTAGGTGGCGCAGTGGAGACAGCACTAGCCCTGAAGTTAGGACCCAAGTTCAAATCCGGCCTCAGACCCAACACTTGACATTTACTAGCTGTGTGACCTTGGGCAAGACACTTAACCCCAATTGCCTAAAAGCCAAAAAAAAAAAAGAAAGAAAGAAAAGAAAAGAAAGGAAATGCTAAAAAAAAAAATCCCGCCTTCTACAAGAAACCTTCCCCAACTCCTGTGCCTTCCTTCGGTTAGTTCTTGTATATATCCTGTCTATAGCTTGCTTTGCATATATTTGTTTGCATATTGTCTCCCCCATTAGATTGTAAGGTCTCTGAAAGCATTCTATCAATGACTTTTTGTATCCCCAATGCTTAGAACAGTTCCTGGCACACAATAAGTACTTAATTAGTGTTTATTTATTGGTTGATCTCACTTCTAGTAATCAAATTTCTGTCTAATCTCTTTTTCAAGTCTTCAACATTCTCTGACCATCAAAGTTTTCCAGCAAAACATGGTCACCTTGCTCTGATTTTTAAAAAAAAAAATTTCAATTAGCAAACATTTCTTTTCTCTCCCTTTCATCCTCCCCCACTCACTGGGGGAAAAAAAAGAAAAACAAAATTTTGTAAAAATATGCACACTCAAGCAAAACAAGTTCCGTCATTAGCCAATAACAACAACAACAATAATAGTGATAGTGGTAGTAATAACAATAATAGCTAGCATTTATATAGTACCTGCTATGTGCCAGGCACTGTGATAAGTGTTTTACAAGTATTATCTCATTCTCACAATGATCCTGTGAGGTAGGTGTTATTTTTAACCCTATTTTACAGTTGAGGAAACTGAGGCAAACAGCATTTACATCCTCATTGGTCCTCCAGAATCATGGTTGGTCACTGCATTGATCATAGTTCATAATTCTTGTTTGTTTGTTTGTTTGTTTGGTG